TGATATTTCACAAGCAATTGCTTTTGCAGACACTCAGTTGGTTTATCAATAAACATAGAAGCTTGGACTCAAATGTGTAGCAAGAGCTCCACAAGAAGGAATTAAGGCTGTGGATGTATGTGATTTGGAGCAAAAGAAGCTAAATTCTGTTTACGTCTTCATTTCCACAAGTCAATTATTTGAAGCTTCAGGTGTTGAGTGATAAAGAGTTGGTAAGAGTTTACAGAAAAAAAAAAGTTGGAGTTCACAATATTAGGATATTGTGTCATCAGTCTTTTGGCAAAGCAACAAACCTATTGCTTTGGTAGGATCCAACAGAACTCCCATGTTACACTGAGTGCCCTAGAAACCTGGTAGATTGCAGCTTGGATTGTTTTTTGTTATTTAATAATTTGCTTTCACCCACAGTACGTGGTCTTTGTTGCTGGCTAAAATTCCCAAGCAACTTCTGAATGTATACTCAGAGCTCTCCCCTAAAGACTATAAGAGAATAGGTAGCAGAGGCTTACAGGTGTGGATACCTCCCTCTCCAGCAAGGGGAGGCTGGGTGCTGCCCGTCTCATCTGTTCTACACACCAGCACTGGGCAACACTGTGAACTTAATCTGTTCTTTCTCAGCACCTTTGCTGTGTAGGATCTCTTTACCATTGAAGCAGTGGTATCTCTCTAATTATGTATTAGACACATCAAAGGGATTCTTCAAAGTAGAGAGGTCTCCTCTGTGTACCCTTGCTAGGCTGCTGAGGAGTTTAGTGCCTGGTCTTAGATTTAGCTCGTCCCCTTCCTGCCCATCTGGATTGACTTGGTTGACTTTTCCTTTGCTTGGGTTAGCTCAGTTGTTTGCAAACCAAATTGTGTTTGAATCACCTGGGGGTTTTGAAAAATAGTGCTAAAGTCCCCCACTCCACCTGATGAAACTGGACATGAGATGGGCTGGAAATCAGTGTTTTGTGATGATCTCACACCTGGCCTCCAGCCTCTGAGTGCAGCCAAAAAGGGTAAATTTGGGAGCCTTTGGCTTTCCGGTGACAGTTTTCTTGTCCCTGCTCTAGCACTTCCACCTAGTTTCTTTTCTTTTCTTTCTTTCTCTCTCTCTCTTTCTTTCCTTCCTTCCTTCCTTTTCTTCCTCCCTTTCTTCCTCCCTCCCTTCTTTTCTTCCTTCCTTCCTTTCTTCCTTCCTTCTTGCTTGCTTTCTCTCTTTCTTCTTTCTTTCTTTCTGAGTAAAGTGAAAGCAAGTTTATTAGAGAAGCAGGGAAACAAAAGAATTGCTACTCCATAGGTAGAGCAGCCCAACTAGCTTCTTTATTTGAGTCATTTTTACAGTTTTCCAGAACTGGGAGCCTGCTATTTATTCACTGATTCCTCTGAGCAGGTGCCATGATGCCTCCTCCAATCATTATCATTATATACAGGCTGCAGAAGTCAGCTACTGGGTGGACATCAGGTGGCAGGACTATTACTTGGCTGCTGCCTCTACAACTTGATTTGCATCATCGAGCAGCCTAGGAAAGGGAGTTAATGTCTGCCTAGTCCGCTCAACAGTATATGCCTGTTCTTTATCTTCTGCTAGATTGAAAACCTGAACTGTTTCCATGGTTACAAAGGCCACTTGATGGGGCAAGGGGCACAATAAACATGGCATGGGGCATTTAACATGCTAAATGTCAGCTTTTGTCTGGGGCCACATCCTAAAGAATTAAAACAGGACTTGTGGAGTCCGCCTCCATACGAGATGAGAGGGCAATTCTTGGTAAAGCTATTCACACTGAGGTGCTGAACACTACACTCCAGGCTGACAATCCCACCCAGCGACCACCCTCAGATAAAATTATTTCCATGCTTGCCAGTGCTCAAAAGATAACATACAAATTCTTGCACTCTTCTGTAAGACCTCAACAACCTGTTCTCATGAAATTATGCATCTCCTCCTGTAGACACACAGGTCCCTGGCTTAGCAAATTCCCCACTCGCTCTCCTTCGATTGGCAAACGTTACTGTTTTCTCTAGAGCCGTTTCATTTATCACTTTCTCATGTAGCCTTGGTGCCTCTATCAGAATTTATATCCCCCACCCAAATCCTCCATGGCATTTATATTATTATATTGATTGGCTTACGTGCCTTTCTCACCAACTGGGCTATAACATCTTTAACAATAAGGCTTTGATATATGGAATTTACCTTTGTAACTCTCAGCAGTGAAAACATGGTAGACACTCAAAAAATACCCATCAAAATAAATGAAACCGCCTATGAAGTACTCTTGCTCTAAAAACAAGAACCTGAATCTTTTAGATCTATCTTCTTGTTTAAATAAAAGATGACATGAACACATAGAGGGGAACAACATACACTGGGGCTTATCAGAGAGTGGAGGTTGGGAGGAGGGAAGAGGATCGGAAGAAATAACTAATGGGTACTAGGCTTAATATCTAGGTGATAAAATAATCTGTACAGTGAACCCCCATGACACAAGTGTACCTATGTAACAAGCGCGCGCATGTACCCCTAAATTTAAAATAAAAGTTAATTTTTTTTTTTTAAAGAAAAGACATTGATGAAGGCACCAGAGAAATGGTACTATTAGGAGACAATCATAGCATGGATTTTATAGACAGTTGATGTGATTTCTCTAATAATTCAATGGCATGCGAAAAAAGGAAGGGGATAGGATAGGGACTCTTCTAGATAAAAGAAAAAAAACATATGTTACAACCAAATGCAATGTGTCAATCAATTATAAAGACATTTTTGAGATGATTTGGGAAATTTAAGTATAAGAGGGTATTAGATGATATTATTGTTAATTAAGTATAAAATAGTGTTTTGGTTATATATGAAATGTCCTTTCTTAGGTATAAAGTAACCTGATATAGAAGTTTTTCTTTAAAATACACTATAGCAGGCTGGGTATGATAACTCCCACCTGTAATCCCAGAGCTTGGAAGGCCAAGGTGGGAGGATCACTTGAGGTGCAAAGTTTGAGATTATAGTGAGCTATGATCGGCCACTGCACTCCAGTTTGAGCAACAGAGTGAGAACCTGATTCTAAATTAATTAAATTAAATTAAATTAAATTAAATACTACTGTTGGAGGGTTAGAACTTTCAACACCATGTCAGGACCTCTGAGGAGGGGAGAGGAGCTGGAAGTTGAGGTTAGTCACTAATGGCCAATGATTAAATCAATCATATCTTGTAACGAAACCTCCACACAAAACCTCTAAGTTGTGGGGTTCAGGGAGCTTCCAGGTTGAGGAACACATCGATGTGCTGGGAAGGCGGCACACCTGGGGAGGGGGGAGAAGCCCCTCACCACCCATGACTCCCATATTTTGCTCCATGCATCTCTTCCATTTGGCTGTTCCTGAGCTGCACTTGTTATAATAAAATGGTAATTATAAGTGAGGCACTTTTGCTGAGCTCTGTGAGTCATTCTAGGTAATTACAAAACTTGAGGGGAAGAGTAGCCTCAGAATTCCCAATTTTGTAGTTGGCCAGGCAGAAATGCAGAGGTCCTGAGGATCCCCTTTCAGGCTGGCATCTGAAGTGGGGGCAGGCTTATGGGACTGAGCCCTTGATTTGTGGGGTCTGTACTAATGCCAGATAATTAGTAACAGAATTGAATTGAACTGTAGGACATCCACCCAGTTCGTGTCAGAGAATGGGATAATTGATTATTGTTGAAAAATGACACAAGGTAATTATGGCAAAATGTTGGTAATTGTTTAATCTATGAAATGAATATATGAGGGTTCATTAAAGTACTCATCTATTTTTGTGTGTTTCAAAAGTTTCCTAACAAAAACATTAAAAACTTAAAAGAATATTATTTCCAGATTCATTTGCCTGTTCAAAGAGAATATTTGCAAGCTTTAGCCATGCTAGTGGGATGCAGTGGTATCTCGTAGTGATTTAAATTTACATCTCTTACATGATTAATGGTGTTGAACGTTTTTACAGGTGTTTGTTGGGCATTTGTATACCTTCTTTTGTAAAGCATTATTCCAAGATATTTTGCTGAAGGAAATGAAAACTTTGTCCACCAAAGGACTTTTACAAGAAGGTTCATGTCAATTTTATTTGTAATAGCATAAAATAGAATAAAATAAAGAAAATAATCCAAATGTTCATCACCAGGAAAACAGGTAAACAAATGATGGTATACTATGCAATGGAATATCACCCAGCAATAACAAAGGAGAAACTACTGTTATACACAATAACATAAATGAATCTTAAAATTGTTGTGTTGAGCAAGACATGAGACACAAAAGATGCATATTTTATTATTTTTAATAAGAATTTTGAGTTCAGGAAAAATTGATCTGTGGGGAAAAAACGAAAAAGAATGGCTATCTAGGGAAGGTGAATGATAAAAGGCAGTAGAGACCTTTCTGGGGTGACAGAAATGTTCTGTTGTCTCGGTAAAGCTATTGGTTACACGGGTGTATACATTTTTTAAAACTCACCAAATTCTGTGCTTAAGATCTGTGCATTTCACCATATATAATTATAGATCAATTTGGAGAGAAAAAGAGAGAGAGAGCAATACCTAACACACAAAACATGTGTTGCTAGAAGTGGGATTTCAGACATTGGCAAGGGAGGTATTTTAAGATGGAAGAGCACGCCTTCCTGGTCTTTCCTCCAGGTATGAACCTGTAATTCAGGACTCTCTGTGTTTACCCTGAAAAATCTCAATTCCTCTTTGCTTAGGTATCAATGCAGAGCAGCTGGCCACCCCTGTGATCTGAACTCCCCTTGCTGCAGACACAATCCGGAATTCTTAGTATGACACCATGGAAACAGCGCTAGCTTTCTCTACGGGCCACACAAGTGACCCCACTACTGACATCCTCCTTGGATGAAGAAGCAGAAATATTATTAGCAATAAGTGGGCTGTATTTGACTGAAAGGAACGCAGTAGAGAGGCATATGTTACTTTTCAATTCTAAGAGCTTATCTCATGGAGTTCAAGGTTATCGGTTCACGTGACTTACCTGTTGGACTTCTCTGGGAGTAGGAATGAAGGCTCAGTAAGGAGAAGGTCTAAAAGAAAAAGAAAAGTTGTTTTGTAAATGTTGAGACTGATACTTGTTTTGGTGTTAATGCACTAGAAATATATTACCTTAGTAGTATATTAACAATAAAGTGTGTTAATTCTACCCAGGTGAAGGTATTGTGGTCCCCATTTTGGTAGTACAAAAATGAGCCTCAAAGGCATTAAGGAACTAGATCAAGGCCATTTAGCTGGCAAGTCATAGAGTTGTGTGTGGGGAATCATAACCCTTAGGCCTCATCACTGTATTACATCCCAGCTGACTTCTAACAGGAGTATGTAAACCTAGTTAATAGCAGGTGGAAGGACTTTCTTTGGAGCTCTGAAGGCCACTATGACTCTCCTTAGCAGCAGCTCTTAACGAGTTACTAATGGAAGTTACAATGCAAATATTCCAGCCCCCTCCCCTTGGGTGGGCTGCCTCTGAGGTGCATGTCTACACTGACTTCCACATCTGCCTAGTGAGAGCAAGTTTCCACTGCCACTGGTTTCTGTTGTGGCTGGCTGGATAGCACGCTCTTTGTGGGCTGCATATTCTTCTCTGGGTCTCTTCCTCAACCGGCATGTCCTGCCATAAACTCCTTCACCTTGAGTCCTCGTGTCAGTCTGATTCTGAGGAACTCAAGCTAAAACAATGAAATTCACACCTAAGATTTTTGACTTCACAATCTATTCTTCTACTATACTATAAATTACAGATCAAACTGTTGGAAACAGCGATATTTGACCATTTTTTAACCAATAGAAATGGCAGTATCATACAGTTCAACTGACTCACAGTATATTGATGTGTACATCAATATAAACACTCAAAAATGCATGCACACGCAAAATGCACATATGTCCATGTAATAGAAACATAACATACTTTTTATACTGTAAGGAGGCCAGCCACGTGGCCTTTCTAAAGCAAAAGTCTTTGCATCTCTTCCTTTACTAAATCCTTCAGTAATTATATCATCCCCTTGGCAAAATCCAGGCTCTCTAGTATGATATAGATATCCCATTATCTTCTGGCTCCAGCCCTTTTCTTTGGCTTGTGCTCTGCCCTCTTTGTTTTGTTTGACATTACTAAACTGCTTAGAATTAAATAATAAAAGAAAAAAGAAAAACACTGGGTTATTTCATCATCTTTTCCTGCTCAACAGCCAGAAGTTTTTCTTGTGGCTCCCTTTTCCCAAAGCAAATGAGTCCAGCCCCTCCCAGGACCAGCTCTTCACCTTGAAAATAAATCCATGAGTATATCAATCACATTGAACTATAATATTGTCTTTTGCTTGACTCTTTCCCTTATCAGAATGTGAGCTCCTAAGTCCAATACCTGGTTTGATCATCTCTGCATGCCTACTGTCTACCATAGAACCTGATGCATAATAGGTGCTCACGAAATGATATTGAATGAAGATAAAGTGAAATTTGAACTTTGTCATCTAGGCTCCAGTAAAGCATTGTGCAGAAGGTATGTGACCAATGCCAATTTCTTTACAGTGCATAGGGACTTTATACTCAGAAACAAAAATAAAGATGCATGACTTTTGATACCTGGCCCCAAACCAGGTCTGAATATTTTATGCAAACTATCCAGGGAAAATGGAGCTATGCTGAAACTGTGACATCTGAAGTCAGGCTGCATGGGCTCAATCTCCGGCTCTACCACTAACTAGAAGTATGACCTTAGGCAAGTCTCTCCCCTTTTGTGCCTAAGTTGCTTCTTCTGGAAAGGAGGAGAATAAAAGATCCCACATCAAAGAGTTGTTGCAAAGATGGTTCAGTTTTGGCAATAAATACAAGCTACAGATAGCAATAATGCTAGCAAGTCCACAGCCTTTAATCTGGATTTCATGTAAACACTGAGCCGCAGTCTCTGTATCTATACTCAAGGGATAATTTATGAATTACTGCAACCAATGTTCATGTATCTGACATGCTCAGCATAGTACCATGTCTAAGGAAATCACAGTGATGAAGATAAACACCGGACTTTTCCTCATGGAGTTTCTTGTCTGATGAAGGAATACAGGGAAGTAGAAATAGCATGAAAGCTGAGAACTGAGGGTAAGCTAAGTTAGAAGAAAGGGGGCCGGGCGAGCTGGCTTACACCTGTAATCCCAGCACTTTGGGAGGCCGAGGTGGGTGGATCACGAGGTCAGGAGATCCAGATTGTCCTGGCTAATACGGCGAAACCCCATGTCTACTAAAAATACAAAAAATTAGCCGGGCATAGTGGCGGGCTCCTATGGTCCCAGCTACTCGGGAGGCTGAGGCATGAGAATGGCGTGAACCAGAAAGCGGAGCTTGCAGTGAGCTGAGATAGCACCACTGCACTCCAGCCTGGGCGACAGAGTGAGACTCCGTCTCAAAGAGTGAGTGAGTAAGTAAGTAAGTAAATAAATAAGTAAATAAATAAATAAATAAATAAATAAATAGAAGAAAGGGATAGTTAGAAAGAGAAGATGAGAAGCTACGTTAACAAAAATGGAGACTTTATCTTAAGAGCAATGAATTTTAATCAGGAACGTAACTCGATTTGAGTGAATTTTAGTTGAGATCACTCAGTCTGCCACGTGCAAAATGGAATTTAATGGGGAAGGCGGGAGCTGAATGATCTCACAGGCAGCATTTACAGCCAGTGATCCCTGCAAGAGCTAATAGGAGCCTGAACCAGGAAAATGACAGTGAGCATATGTATTAGATTCCTGGGGCTCCCTTAACTAGGTATTCAAAGTTGATGGCTTCAAACAACAGAAATAGATTCTCTTATAACTTAGGAGTCTAGGATCCCAAGTCAAGGTTTTGGGAGGGTTGAGCTTTCTCTGAATGCTTTAGGGAAGGATCCTTCCTCACCTCTTGCTAGCTTTTCATGATTGCTACAATCTGCACCTTCTTCCTATATATCTTTGTCTCTGTGTCCAAATTTCTTTTTTTTTTTTAATAAGAATACCAGTCATTGAATTAGGGTCAACCGTACTCCAGTCTGATTTTAACTTGATTGCGTCTGTAAAGACCTTTTTCCAAATAGGGTCACATTCAGGTACTGGGGTTTAGGACCCAAGCCTATCTTTTTAGTGGGGCAAAATTCAACCTACAAAAGGCTGGCATTAAATAACTAAACTCGGAAGATATTACTAATTTATTGATTCATTGGGGATGGTGAAGGATATGGAAGAATCAAAGATATTGTCCAAAAAGCAGACATGAGAAAATAGTAGGTGAAATATGAATAGTAGGTGAATAATGGTTCGATTCACTTAAAAAGTAACGTAGGAGAAGTCCAGATTTCATGGAACAGCTGACATGGAGTTTTAAATCTGCTGCTGGAGAAACCATCTTTTGAAGCTTCGAAACTCTTGAGGAACAGCTGTCAGGGTAGAATTTGAGAACTGGGGATTGGATTTATAGATGATAGAGCTTCCACAGTAAACACTAAGAAGCAAAACTTGAGATGAGGTGGAGATGAATGTTTCAGTAGGTTTGAAAAAGCATGAAATTTGGAATCATAAGCCTTACATTCTGAATGTTTAGAAATTACACATGAGGCCGGGTGCGGTAGCTCATGACTGTAATCCAGCACTTTGGGAGACCGAGGCAGGTGGATCACAAGGTCAAGAGATCAAGACCATCCTGGCCAACATGGTGAAACCCTGTCTCTACTAAAAATACCAAAAATTAGCCAAGTGTAGTGGTGGCCCTGTAATCCCAGCTACTCCGGAGGCTGAGGCAGGAGAATTGCTTGAACCTGGGAGGCAGAAGTTGCCGTGAGCTGAGATCATGCCACTACACCCCAGCCTGGTGACAGAGTGAGACTCCGTCTCAAAAAAGAAAAGAAAAAGAAAAAAAATTACACATGAAAGAACCTCATCTTCTGTATGTCTCTCTAGATCAAACTTGTCCAACTTGCAGCCATGAGGCCCAGGACAGCTTTCAATGTGGTCCAACACAAATTTATAGACTTTCTTAAAACATTATGAGTTTTTTTTTGCAATTTTTTTTTAACTCATCAGCCATCATTAGTGTTAGTGTATTTTATGTGTGGCCCAAAACAATTCTTCTTCCAATGTGGCCCAGGTAAGCCAAAAGATTGGACACCCCTGTTCTAGATGAATGTAACAATGGCTCATTTTAATATTTAGGTAATATTTTAGTTTCTAGAGTATTACTACATACACTAAATGATTTGGTCCTTACAATAACCCTAAGATGAGATGAAGTAACTTGTCCTAGGTCCATAGTGAACAAAGGGCAAACATAGCAGGCAAGCCCAGGTCTGTGGTTCCAAGGCTGCTGCTCATTTCACAGCACCTCACTGCCTCTAAGAGGTTCCTTGATTGGAACTCCTTATTACTATGTTTGCTTTCTTGGCAACAGCCACTGTCACACAATGCCTTTAATTTAGATTTCTCATACATATCAGTGTGGAGGAATCCATTTTCCTCAGCTCAAAAGACCACCCTCCTTAAAAAGTAGACGCTTCCTAAAATATATGGATTTAAATCCTCTTCAACGTGGTGTAATATTATTTTTCCAGAGAAAAAGAACGATATATCTTTGAAAGCAACTAGAGGTCCCCTAGATTATAAAGAGCCAGATGAAAAGGAGAAAATGACTGCAAAAAAAAAAAAAAAACTAAACAAATGTTTGAACCTAAAAATAAAATTCCAAATATTGCTTTTAAAAATTCTGACCAAAATAAAATAAATTAGAATCACAGATTTTTCTACAAGTATTTAAGAGGGCAAGGGCAATCTCACATTCACATTTATATTATAATATCTAAATATTATTATAACAATAAACAGGACCTTTGGGAGTTATTTAATACATTTTCCTTTCTCGAGAATAGTTGTATCTAATTCAGTGCTGCTTGAAGTTTACTCCATAGATGTTAATAAATATTATTTGTTTTAAAAGAATGGGTGATGGTGGGAAACCTTAGAATAAGTTAAATCGATTTACTTCTTGCAGGACTTCTCAGGGCCTTTGACATGCTAAC